CCAACATTATTGGGTAATTATAGTTAATAGTAATAAGAATAAAGTTAAGCATATGTGTATCAGACAATGAGAATATTTAATACAAAACGAAACAATCATTAACAGAGTCCTGCATCAGACAACGACAGCGCAGCATAATGTTGACATCAAACGGGTGATACTGATAAGGCAGAACATTCTCCCACACGGTCCAACAATGCACTGGTATCACCTGCAAACGCGTAATAATCCTCGGAAACACTACAATTTCTCTGTTCACGCTTCCCTTCATCTGCCAGTAAATTTACGCTCGTATCAGCTCTGCCGCCGCCATGTTTCCTTCCAACACCTCAAAATGTTGCCGAGCCCCGCCTTGACGCAGTGATTGACAAGAGCGAGCGGGAGGGAGGGGGCGGGGCAGGGGCGTGATCGGCTTGGAATGCATTTTCAATTTGCACATTGAATTTTGCTACAGTCATTGCGGGACATTTAATGAAAATGCAATCGCAAGTGTCTTAACTGAGAGTGTAAATGCAATTAAGAAAAATAACATTTAATGATCATTTTGCTACAGTTTTTGCTTGAACATTTTAAACAGATCTAAAAATTTCTTTAATAAATTTTCATTTTACTTTCGCAACTTATAAAGCGTTAAAATGTGTATTCAATTTACATATTAAAACATATGTATGAAATGGCAAATGTAAATTATATAATTGAATTATCATTTTCATTTTGCACCAAACGTTGCACAAATGTATTGGAAAATGTAAATTTAAATACAGAAATGCATTGCCATTTTACATATTGCATTGTCATTTTACATATTTAATTATCATTTTGCATATTACATTTCAAATTGAATATTGCTACACATAAGCTTCCATAGATAACCCTCCTGATCAAGTTCATGCAATTCAGTTGCAATGTGGAGCTTGATCCTGAGAAGAGACTGGCTTTAGCTGAGGAACTCTCATGGGGCCCAGATCACAGCGGAAAGCACTGCAAGCCACGGTGAGATAACTACACAGGCTGCTTCTGTGGTCAATATGTCCTCCGAAAATGAAGCTCTCCAGGGTGAACAGTCAATTAGATGCCACGCTGCAGCCAGGAGTCAGATTCATCAGAAACGGGTGGCCAGAATATACAGCGAGTACATTCAAGGTCGGGAACATTGTCGGAACCTTGGCTAACGTTCTGGCAAGGTTCTCTTAAAGGTATAAACAAACACCTTTGCTGTAACGTTAATAGAATGTTTGTTCAAAGTTATCTGGTCTTTAATTACGTTAGCACAAAAACATTATTTACACTATTTTTTTTTTCTTTTTAAATGCTACTATTACAGAGAACATTCGAAAGGAACGTTCCCATAATGTTTGCAGAATGATAAAATGTCATTTATCCTTAACATCTGCATAACCAAGAACATATTTAAACATTTTTAAAACATTAAAAATACTGGCTGTTTTGAACGTTCAGGGAACATTCAGAAATAAATGTTTCTTAACTTAATGGGAACGTTAGCAAAAAGTAATTAGAAGAACATTTTTTTTTTAGCTGGGGTAGTCCTTGACAATATTCACAATAGACATCAAGGCTTACGCAGGCGTCATGAAAGAGCTTGGTGGCCGTTATTTCACAGGACATTACATTTTGTGTGCAGACGCGTTCATGCAGTGAGACAAGGGCAGCACCACTGATATCAAGAGAATTACCCTGTGGACCAGGGGAGAAAATAGTGATAGATCTGTGTGAACTAGTGAGATTAGATTACAATTCCAGATACATTGAGATCCTGACACTCACTACTTTCTCCAGAATCCAGGTCACTGAAAACACATTTGCTCTTTTGGCATTGTATGCACCTTTTCTATATAGCCCACAGAACCCACATGCACTATAAAACATTACTTTTCGAAGTTGTAAATAAAACAAAGGTTAATGGAGAATGTTTTAGAAGAAAATACTATTTCAGTCTTCTACTGCAAAATTTCACATTTAATTCAATCTTCAAATATTTGTGAAATGTCCTAGCAATTTCTAAATACAAATCTTTCAAAGAAAATACAACACAGATCCAGATCACACTATACATGCTAGAAATATTTGAAACCAGCCTGGCCAGGAGAGCAATAGTCAGAATTAAAAACAACAACAACAACAACAAGTCAGCCATTTTGGGCTGCAAAAAATCAGAAGAAGAAGAAAAAAATCCTCATGAGAATAATAAGTGAACATTGAGCTTTATTAGCCTGTGTTATAAAACCAAAGTCATGTTGACTCATGTTAAAGAGCCCCTGTGGTGAAAATCAAGTTTTTAATGTTGTTTACAGTATATGTCTATGTGGTGTTTTAAATATGCTTTAAGACAAACCATATGCAAATTCATAAGTCAACAACATTGCTGAGTATTTTCTCCTTAAAACTGCATTTAAAAAAAAAAGACAGTCTCTCTCAAGAATACGGTTTGAAATCGCCGGTGTTGACCAATCCCGTCAACGTGCGGGCAGTCTTTAACATATCATTAACTGCTGCGAAGCAGTGGAATCTCAAGAGAAGCCAGGTTATCCAAGTATATTTTTTCTGTTGATATGAAAAATTATGTACACTTAGCTATATAGCGGATGAATTGTGTATATGATGTATATTACGATGTTATGATGAACTATATGCCTTTCTCCACTGACGTTCTGAGTTGTTCAAAGCGTTCAAAGTGTCTTGGGATGCTGATTTTTTGGAAGGCAGCTGTCTGACTCTGAGATGGTGAACGGGAACATTATTAGCTGTTTGATAACGTACAGTAGTCGATCAAATCATATTAATTACCGTTATGTGTCCGACGTTGTAAAGAGCGATACATATATTGCTTTACCATTCTGATACATCGACCCTGTATAATTCGCTCTTCCACTTCTTCTGAATCAGTTTCTGGTAAAAAAACATAAATGGCTTAATTAAACCAGTATTTCTACTTGCCATTGTGCACCGTTTACTACAGTAAAGTTGACCGAGTGGATCAGGTATTCTGAGCTGGTGTGAGTGAGTGGAGGTGGGGCTAATTTACATATTCATGAATCCGCATATACTAAATGAAGCAAGGGGGTAGAGTCTGAAGTATCTTAAGGCATGATTTTTTTTCACAGGAAAAATAACGTTTAAATACAAGGACGTACACAGGGGGGTTGCTCAGGTTGCCCGGGCAACTGCCCATATGTCCTTCTCGACTCAGGTTGCCCTTCCAAAAAAAATAATAAAAAAAATCGTACAATGGATGCAAAATTTCACGTAGGCCTAGATAAAAAAAACTAAAATCGCAAAGCCTCATTCACTTCCATTCGGGCACCGAAAGTGAAAGTCAGTAAGGGAAGGGCAAACTGTTTACGTGGCTGCAGCGCTGCAGCGCGACCGGTGCGTATTCTGCGTAGCCTAAGGCCCCGCAAATTACTTAAGGCCCCGCCTCCATCTCATGTCATAGCGCGTCAATTAATGTGTACAACATCCATGACAAAATGAAGCGAAACTATGTTGATTAGCTGGACATACTGCTCAATATGGATGCACATCCCTCAGTAAATAATAACCATACATCAAGAATTGCTTCAACATGCATAATAAAAAAATAAAAAATCATACTGATGCCGAAAATACCCAGGCTGTAGAGAGAACCAAAGTTAATCCCAAAAGCCAAAGCTCGGGGTTATAATTTATTATTTTCTTCTTATTTATGTTTACGTTAATATTCACTTGTTATCTTAACATTCTATAGAAAATACTCTATTCAATAAATATTGTTTGTTTGAACCTCATTCTGTTCTATATTGTTGTACTTATTCTTTAATTGACACTTTAATTGAGCACTGAAGTGTCAGGTGTGACTGTGTGGCAATGGCAAATGGTTTACATAGCTCACGGCGTCACAGGTCTGGTAGAGGGCCCCTTAGCAGAATTTTGGGGGTGCCCTTTTTTCAGGTCAGAGCAACTGCCCCTCAAAATTCCGGTGCATGTCCCTGTTTAAATATGTCATTTTGGTGATCAAAGATGAGTTTAAAGGAATAAAATGACTGACTACAGGGGGACTTTAATTTGTGTTTGATGTAATTCATAATCCATGGTAACTAGATGTTTTAATTGGAAACATACAGGAGGAGCACGTTCAAATAATCAATCCAATTAACTTGTCATCAACAATCATCATGACTGTCCCATCAGCATGAGAGAAAGCATTTATATAGGCACTCAGTCGACTCACCTACATTCCTTGACAGTTTTTCAGCATCCCTCCACCACCCCGACACCTTACTCTCGGCTTGTTCCTTCCACAGCCAGGAATACGGGGGGAGTACTCTGGGTTCGGGCCAAATACCAGGCCGGAACCCTCTCCTCAGACAGCACGCCAAATATGCATACCATTTATTCTATCTGACTTATTTGTAAGTGTGAACTCGTGAATTTCCTGAAGGACAAAATCAAGTCCCAAACAGACCTGGCTTCCTTGTTATATAATAATATTCATTCATATACTTAAGTAGCTGTCTAACATTTCATTAAAAAAGTTAACATCACGTTTGTGGCAAGCAGGGAGGGTCGAGGGCCGTGAGAGGGCGTGATTACTGATGAGTGTCACCTGCGCTCTCTCACAGAGGAGCTACGGAAGCTTAAAAGGAGGAGCGACGACAGTGAAGGGCAAGAGAGGACCAGGCCTGGACTATTTATGTTATGTTTTGTTTTTGTTTTATTTGTGGATTATTAAAGTCTTTAAATGTTCGCCAGTTCCCGCCTCCTTCTTCCCATAACAACTAACCTCATTACAACATTAAAGGGATAGTTCGCCCAAAAATGAAAATTCTGTCATTATTTACTAAATCATTTTTGGGTGAACTATCCCTTTGTGCCACGGTGCTCACACAGGTGACACAGGCAAATTGCATAATTTGTCTACCCAGTTCACCCCTGCCAGATGCAGTTGTCCTCTTTACAGTTCAGACTGTGAATAAAAAGGCCAAAAAGAGAAATTATCTCACCCGTAGTGTGTTAATCTGTGTGCTGCTGTTGAAAAAATTCCAGATCAAATCTTTATTCTGCAGCCATGCCTCTGCCAGTTCGCCAACTTTAGCCACAGCGTCAAAGGTGCGGTTGGCCTGGTGACAAACAGATTGCATTGTGGAACACTGTTCAGAACACTTAGTGTAAGCACTTCATCTCATTGAAATACTTGGATTTGGTTGGCCAATTGCTGCATTGAATGGTCAAATATTTTATATACCATTATATCCCACTATACCACTGTATATATTTTAGCATTGCTCATGGCAAAATACAGGTGCTATTTTCATATCTCTTGTGTCACGCATTAAAACAAAAAAAAAACCACTAGATTACATCATCACAGGGTTATAGTCTCTTCAGGTGTGTTCTCTTTAAAGGTCTCCTTCCATGGGCCAGATTCATGAAACATTCTTAAAAATGAAGTTCTCCTTAACAGCTATAAACGATTTTCTATTTTAGGAAGAATAATGTTAAAAATCATTTGTATTCCCAAAAACATTTCTTAAAGTGGCACTATGCTGAATTTTCAGTTGATGCTTATAAACACAACATCCAAATTTGGCCTCTGTCAAACTCTGTCGATCTGAATATCCATGGGCAGGGTCGAAAATAATGCAGAAGCATAATCTGTCGTTTTCACGAAAGCCCTTGCTGACAAATAAATGTGAATTTCTCGATCCAGGTAACACATAGAATGAGTAAACATTGTAACAAATACTACTGACATCGTAACAAAGCAGCATGAAAATCGGCGAAGTTACACTCTTATTTTCATGAATCCAGCAGCAGCTCATTCCTGTACACGTCCTAAAACATGACCCGGGCCCTATGATAACTAAGGTCCTGCGTTTCAAGCATACATAATTCAATTGATGTTCTTTCAATGTAGCTGCATCTCATGAACAGGAAACAGATTAATACAGGGAAAAAATCTGTACAATCACTGATTCAATTCTCTGTGGATTTCTCTTTTCTCTTCTGGGGTGTCAAAGGGCACAAACAAGCATAAACACATTTGCGATTCTGAGCTTGTTAAGTGCACATTCATCCTCGTTACACCAATTTACATCTTACGCAATATGAGTCTATGTTCTCTTTATTCAGGCTAAATCATGGCCATGGTTTTAAAAGATGCAATGCATTAACTTTCCACTGGCCACTGCTCTTCTGTGCGTATGTGTGGCGAGCAGGACGAGGCCGAGGGCCGGGAACATAAAAGGAGGAGCGACGACAGTGAAGGACGAGAGAGGACAGGCCTGGACTATTTTTGTTATGTTTCTGTTTTATTATATGTGGCAGCAGTCGTCCGTGAGGGACTGCTGCCTTTACTTTCGTTTCGTTTTGTTGTTTGTTTATTTTACGTTATTAAAGCCACCCCTTCACCCTCTAGGCGCCACGGTCGAGTTTACTCGACAAGATGAGGCACTGAATAAAATGGCCGATTTTGTCAAATTGGGTGTCACATTTCGTTCGACCTCCCCTCCACTGGATGGCAGACATGTCATACTTCATCCCCGAATCAAAAAAACGTCATGTTTCTATACAAAATGTTGGAGTTAGAGCACATTGAATCAGTGAGATCAAAAGCGGAGCTAGTGTGAGAGTGAGCCATGTTATCAGAGCCTCTCCGCAATCGCGGCGACAGTATTGTGGTGGAGACTTTGTCTAATGCCACTGGGTATGTTAGACGAGGTCGAAGTATTCATAGGACAGTTAGGAGGCAACGTGGAGGCAGGGTGAGGAGTCGCAATGACAATGACAGTAGCCTGAGTTCTGCACACTCGGCGCGCGCGCGAGGCAGATCTGACCGCGCTGCTCGTATCATCTCACTCATGATCTGTGCCTTGCCGTGGCGAGTGAGCGTTTGAACTAAACAGGTCTTGTCTACTTGTGTTTGTATGTCATATGAATAATATATATGTGCCCCATACATGGAATCAGAGTGTCTACTGTATTTAGTAAATGGAAAATCTCTACAGCAAAAGGCAACCACTACATGCATTCGGTTTGTTTCTACCATTTATTAGTAATAATTTACACAGTTTGTTTACTACTTACTATATACCTAAGCATTCAGTATTGTGCAATATAACATACAGAAGGTGATGGACATTTTGGGGGGAAAGAAGTGCTGCATTTTATTAGTGGTGGGGGGAAAAATCGATTCTGTTCAGTATCGCGATATTTTGCCCCCCCAATTATATCGATACAGTAGCGCAAAGTATCGCAATATTTAATTATAAAATTATCTGTTTTACTTCCGGGTTTTCTCGGAGTTTACTCTGATAATTTACATTCGCGTATTACATCCACAAGGAAGCGCTTGTTGCGGTGCTTTGTTGTCGTGCATTCAACTGGAAATTCAAATGAAAATGTAGATGCCAAGTGTAAGTTTAGCATAGATATATTTCCACTCGCTGAACCCTGACTGAGCACTTGAGACTTTCGCTCTCCGTGACTCCGTCAAGCGATCATTCTGTGTGTGACCAGACGGGCTATGGTGTGACGTACCCAGCACCGTACTCTAGTGTGAAGGCGCGCGACTCGCCGGCACGTTTCTCTCACGCACGCAAAGAGAGCGAGAGAGTTACATTATACAACGCAAAATCGACGCGCTACATGTAAACGATTTCTTGTTTGTATTTTCCTGTCAAAATAACTGAGTTCATCTGGTATTATTCAGCTTTTAAGAACAAGCAGAAGAGATGCCGGTTTCTCCGGTAGTGGGTGGAAGTGGAACTAATGCGCAAACGGCAATCTTATTGGATGGCACCCATGCCTGTTTTAATTTCAGCAAATCAGAGCAAACGAATGCTGTCAAATGATTTACATTCATGAACCAAGCAGCTCATGTGTTGCAGGCCTATATTATATTTTTTTATAGACTATAGTTGTATATTGTCATTATTATTAGTAGAATTAGTAGTAGGATTATCTTTTAATAATAATTACTATTATCTTACTTTTTTTTTTACAGAAACACTGAATGACCAACAATATCGTAAGCACCACCAGTTCAGTTTAAGTTCAGTTAAAATGACAAATATGCATTCATGCATGATTATCAAGTTTTAGTTCTAATCAGGGGCGTCACTAGGCCCTTTTTAGGGGGGCTAAATTTTTTTATATATTTTTAAAAAATCATATTGGGGGCTTAGCCCCCCTAAAATGAAAATCCTAGTGACGCCCCTGGTTCTAATTACTGAAGTTCTATCATTAAATAGGCTAATGCTTGATTATCATAATATAATGCTTGATTGACTGATTTTAAGAGTGTACATTTAGATATTTAAAAAGCTGTGCCATTCAATGATAAGCTGATTTTGTGGAATTATATATAAAAGTTTTTGCAGTTCAGTTAATGTGTAGAAGATAATGTTCACAGAATTAAATGTGACATTTGAAGTGAGTTGAGTCTTATTTTCCTTTATTTTTTGTAATGCCTTTGAATAATATGGGGGGCATGAATCGCAATATATTGTAGAATCGAATCGCAATACTTGCTGTTTCGCAATATGTTAAGAATCGCAATAATATTGATTCGTGGGCCAAATATCGCAATACTATCGAATCGTCACATTTTTGCCAATTCCCACCCCTACATTTTATCATTAAAACATGTGACTTTTCATTGAAATTCTATAATCCAAGATTGCCGCCACCATATGGCGTCATAATATGCAAATTAGATGGAAAAATGTAATCCCTACATAAACTTTGGGTCATCCTTAATATTTCTCTAATTTACAGAAAGTCTCTATCTTTTATCACTTTTAAGATATAGCCTTTTGAAATTGAGATGTCAAAATCGAACGTTTTAGGAAAAAACCTCTGGCGCCTAAAGGGTTAAGTGTCACCGGCCCACCGGTGGGCCCACACCCATTACATATTTAAAACAGTAATATCCTAGATTAAACCTAAACTAACCTTGACAACCTATATATCATTTGAAAGCTTACAATCTCTAGTTTTCATATTTGGTGATATTATATTTATTACAGAGGAGCCGTAATTTATCAATTTATTGCAACAAGAATATTTTCATACTACTAAGGCGTGTTTAGACCTTTATTTTGAAATAGCAATGAACATAAAAAATCATGAAAGAATGGTAGAAACCTCAGTTTGTTTTCATGCCAAGAGTTCAAAAGATAACATCCATTAATTTTTTTTAGAAAAAAAAAAGTAATATAAAGAAAAAAATAATAGATTCACCATTTGTGACGTGTCTGCGAACTATGACGCACATACGTGTTCTTTTTGTGTTTATTAGAGGTTGAATTCATATCAAAATCTGCCACACTTCCCATACTACTTTCTGAATAGGATGTCTACTTCATAAATTGTATGAAAATTGTGGAAATATATGGTAAAATATATGGTAATCGAGTCTGGTTGTCACCTATTAAAAAAGTTTGGTACTGCGCCCAAACAAAATCTTACCGAAAGCTCATTTTTTGAGATATCAACCTAAAATTTGAAACACAACTTGTACAGATTTTTGGCTTTGATTTTCTTGCAGTTTTAGAGTCCAACATGTTTTAAAACTATATATTTTATATAAAATATTAATAGTTAAATTTTGTCATTGTACATTTACATAAACTCAAACTTCTATAACTTTTTTTCTGTTTCACTTTCGTAATTTATTTCACAGACAAAAACCTGCCAAATGTCTTCTTTAAAACGAGACCAATCTTACGTCTATATTCCAAAGCATTCTTGAACGTGACACGTAAGGTTTGCCGGTTCCCGCCTCCGTCTTCCCATAACAACCAACTTTGCTACAGTATGTTTTTGTTTGTGTGTGTACCTCTGTAACGATGCTCCGCGTAACATTTGTGTCGGGCGTGTAGAGGATTTTTCCTTGCAGAAAGGGCCTGAAGGTTTTCCATAACAGACGCAGGCTGGACGAGCTCTCCAGTGTGTCAGTCAAGTTTTTACAGAACTCACCTGCAAAGACAGAAGAGTGGATATACATTAATAAAACATCACTGAAGAAGCAGATTCAGATGCACCCAAGCTCAGACTTGAGCTTTGACTCCAATAATGTTCTTCTCGTGCATCAAGCAAGCACGGTTTCTATTTTTATCATATTTGATGAGCTCTATATGTTTGTTGATCAGTGTGATCATAATGGAATAAAAGCCTAAATCAAATATGTGCATTGTATTAAAGGAACACTCCGACTTTTTGGGACTTTAGCCTATTCACCTTATCCCCCAGAGTTAGATAAGTCCATACATACCTTTTTCATCTCCGTGCGTGCTATAAGTCTGTTTGACGCACCCACCGCTAGCCTAGCTTAGCACAAAGACTGGATGTAAATGGTTGCAGCTAGCATACTAATCCAAATAAGTGACAAAATAGCGCAAACATTTTCCTATTTACATGTTGGGATTTGTATAGTCACAGAGTGTACAAAAAACTACGTCACATGAGACACAGACATATTTTAACAGTATAAATACTGGGTTATAGTTATATTCTCTGAAGGCGAAGCACTGCTACTTGGGCGGAGTAATAACCGCAGCACCTGAGACGCGCCGTGGTGAGGAGCAGAGAGTTCGTTCAGAGTTTGGGTACGGTACGTCTCAGGTGCTGCGGTTATCACTCCGCCCAAGTAGCAGTGCTTCGCCTTCAGAGAATATAGTTCCCAGTATTTATACTGTTAAAATATGTCTGTGTCTCATGTGACGTAGTTTTTTGTACACTCTGTGACTATACAAATCACAACATTTAAATAGGAAAATGTTTGCGTTATTTTGTCACTTATTTGGATTAGTATGCTAGCTGCAACCATTTACATCCAGTCTTTGTGCAAAGCTAGGCTAGCGGTGGGTAGCCTCGTGAGACCATCCTGATCTCGCGAGCTTTCAAGGTTTCACTCGCAGATCAGTCTGGATACTTTCCGTTAAAGAAAATTTGGGAGCAGTTCACCAAACGAACGTCCAATCAGCGTTGGCTTTGAGGCGGGTTGAGGTGTGACGCAACGAGAAGCGCGTCACTTCAGTCTAAAGAACATGTCGGCTTCAGCGGATGAAACTAGCATCAGCGTGGCTATCGAGCAAGTTTTATCGGAATTACAGAGTATTTCTTCACTGAAAGAAGAGCAAAACACTGCTCTGGAGGCTTTTCTCAGAGGAAAAGATACGCTCTGTTAGTACGTCATATGCTTCGTTGATCTGATTGGTTGATTTGGCCCGTCTATCACCAACATAGGCCAATCAGCTAACCAGTATTTTCGCCCCTTACCAAAACTACTTCAACGGAAGGTTTCCAGATGGATATGCGGAGCAAATCCATCTGGCGGAGTCAGGTTAAGCGGTGGGTGCGTCAAACAGACTTATAGCACGCACGGAGATGAAAAAGGTATGTATGAACTTATCTAACTCTGGGGGCTAAGGTGAATAGGCTAAAGTCCCAAAAAGTCGGAGTGTTCCTTTAAGCGACTGTGTCTCTTTACTAGACATGGATTGAATAGCTTGATTCATATGGATTAGTTTTACGATGCATTCAACATTTACAATATTTCAATGGATGGGAAAATGATAAGAGAATAACCATAAAAACAAATACTTTTATTAGTTGAAATTAAATAAACTTTAACTGAAATAAAATAAAATATTAAAAAAAACTTAGCTGGTTGCCAAGGCAGCATTTATAATTTTCATGTAACTTAACTTGAAGTACTAAAATAACAAAAAAAAAAAAAAAAAAAAAAAAAAAGTATAAAAACTATATAAACACATACAAAATAATAAAAATGACAAAAACACTATAACTAAAATTAAAATGAAACCAAATATGTATATATATATATATATATATATACACACACACACACACATATGGACACTAAAAAATCTCCAATAAGCATTTTCCAGTATGTTCTTTAAAGTTGCTCAGAAAAAAAGTTAATCAGTTCTATCTGCAGAAGCTCACTCAGCAGCTCTTAGTTCACTACCTCAAATGCTCACCGACAACCAGCAAACAATTTCGCCAACAAACAATTTAGACTTCATCTTAAAAATCTGCCACAGATTCATACTGAAAGTCAAGATTAGACTCAGATTTAACCCTCAAACCTCTGCACTTCAGCGCCTTCATGTATAGAGAAAGCAGAACAGGCATATAAAGGCATTTCTGCCCAGTCAGATACACTCTTCCATGTTTTCCCTATAGAAAAGCAATAAACACTCTGTGCTCTAGCTCTGCCAGAAAATCATTACTTTAATTTGATTGAGCGAATGTGCAGCCCTTAGGTGAGACCGGGTTGGTGAGACCTCAATCCAGGTAGGACATTTCAGTGTAAAATGATCCTTTTTTTGCTAGTGCTGAAAATCTGCAGTGATGTACTGATCAGGGAAAGGATTTATAAAACTAAAAAGACCACAATTTTTACATAAAATATGCCAAAATAAAACTAATTATACTCTTACTCTCACAATTAAGTAGTGTTATGCATAAATGCCCGTAAGTATTAAGACCTGGTCTCAGTTCATAAGTTATTTAGAGCTAACACTAAAAACCTAGTTAGGAGTTGCAAAATGGCTGTTTTGCATGGATGTGTTGAATGCAGTTGAATTTGATATATTTCAATTTGATATATTTTTATATTAGAAGATATATTTCATAGTTGAGTCAATACAGTGGCTTATTTTTTTTTTTAAGTTTTTTGCATAATATTTTTCATTTGATAGAGTATTTTGCAGTTGGAAAATGTGATTGATAATCCATAAAATCGCTAATGACCAGAGTTGGGGGGTAATGCATTACGAAAACCGTGTTTTTTGGGGCAGTCGTAGTCTCAGCCTCAGACTAGTGACACCCACGGACCGTTGGCTGAATGTCTGATGCATATGGCACACTTTTTCTGGAAACACTTCAGGAGTTTCGAAGTCGTGATCTGATTGGTTGAATTCTTCAGGATGTCCAGGAGACGTGTGTGCCGCGTTCTTTAACAGTCCAGTCCGCCTGGAAACAAATGCTGTGACGCCAAAACCCCTCGTGGAAGAAGAACGCCGTCGTGTTTATAACTGTGACAATGAGCGCTTACCAGGATAAAGTATGTGAAGTTTGCGGCTCCATTGTTGCAGTAAACTTGCACAACAATCTTGAATGGATAATTTATTAGATGCACGCCGGTCACCCCTAAACATGACGCGGAACAAAACGAACTGTGATTGGTTGCGTTACATGTCAGTCAAACGTCCTCTAGGGGGGTCCTTGGCCAAGAAAAGCTGCGATACAGTCCAGACCTTCTGCCGTCAGTCTGAAGGTCTGGCTAGACTAGGGTAGTCTGGCGAGACGAGGGCAGTCGTGACAAGTGGCCTAATGGTAAGAGAGTCCGACTGGTTGCAGGTTCGATTCTCAATACTGGCAGGAAATGGAAAAGGCTCCCATGGGCGCTGCTCCACTGCTCTGGTTGTGTGTGTCCACGGTTTACAGTATATGTATGTGTGTATTCCCTACTCACTAATCCTAATGTGTGTGCACTAACTTGGATGGGTTAAATGCAATGCATGATTTAGCGCAAACTAAATCGACTGTCGGCTCAAAAAACGACTGTCAGGAAGGATATACCACAGGATATAAGACACGCAGTGAAAAATTAGCGCTCAAAAGGCGTGAACAGGGTTATTTTTGTGGCTGACCTTATTGCATATGTATTTGTAGGAGTTTCCCTTTCCAGACACACAATTTATGGGAGGAGAGTATTTAAATGAATCATGCAAGGTGATTTACCAAGGCTTGCGCCAGTCAATTCACCGGTTTTTGCTCCATTATTTAACGCCCCAAAAAGGCACTTCTTAAACCAGACGTTAATTTGCGCTGCTCTTGCGTTGGTCACAATGGAAATGATCCGGCTTTTACATAAACTTTACATAAACGGCTTTATTAGTTGGGCTTTTCCTTAAAAAAAATATTGGGCTTTTCCCAAACTATATGCCAGACCGAAATGTGAAATCGAGTGATCTTGAAATATGAAATATACAGGCAGATAGGAAACCTTTCACTGCATCTAAATGTCGTATGAAACGAGGATGTTTCTATGCTCTATTATATAATAATAAACTTAATAAACATAATACAATATAAAAGTAATAACAGTGTTTATTTAAAGTAATAACAGTTGTCAACAAAATGACAAAGAGTGTTTACACTGTAACATGCTGACAGTGTTTTCAAATCTGCTCAAACGTAGATGTTTCTAATGTGATAAACAATAATAATTTAGTTTCAAAAATATAAAATGTTATGTACTGTGTGATAGTACATACAAAGCATGTGCATCTATTGGCGCTTTTCCACTGCATAGTACGGTACGGTTCGGTACGGCACGCTTTGGCGCTTTTCCACTGCATAGTACGGTACGGCTCGGTTCGGTACGGCTCACTTATGGCGCATTTCCACTGCATGGTACGGTACGGCACGGCTCGCTTCGGCTCGCTTTAAATGGTACCCGATCTGTTGAGGTTCCAAGCGTACCGTACCGGTACTAAAATGTGACGTCAAAACACTGCAGATCACTGATTGGTCAGACAGACAGACAGAATCGTCACTACCAGCGTCATTGTATTTGCGACACGAGACACTAACCCGCTAGATTTAAATAGCCAGCAGTAGACAACAGCCAACGCTGTAGTACCTGTTTTTAAAGTATTTGCTTGAAAAAAGAAGATGAAAACTTCAAAAAAAGAAATGGCTGAACCGTGGTCAGTGGACGAGGTGCAGACGTTCCTCTCGTTGGTTGCCGAGGAGTTGCGCAACTAACGATCAGTCCCACCCACTGAAGCGGTACTACTGCAGTGGAAAAGCAACCGAGCCAAAGCGAACCGAGCCGTGCCGTACCGAGTCGAGTCGTACCACGCAGTGGAAAAGCGAAGCGAGCCGAACCGTTCCGCGCCGAGTCGAACCGTACCGAGCCGAACCGTACCGTACTATGCAGTGGAAAAGCGCCAAAACCATGTTGTTAATGTATTACTATGAGCAATACATTTATTACTGTATTTGTTAATCTTTGTTAACATTAGTTAATAAAAATACAGCTGTACGTAGTTTGTTCGTGTTAGTTCACAGGGCATTAATGTTACCAAATACAACTTTTCATTTTAAAAATGTATTAAATGTTGAAATTAACATTAACAAAGATTAATAAATGCTGAAGAACTGCAGTTCATTATTAGTTTATGTTAACTAATGTAGTTAACTAATGTTACTTTTTGCTAAAAAAAAAACAAGTAACATAATTTGTTACTTTAAGGAGTAACTCAATACTGTAATGCATTACTTTTAAAAGGTAATTTTCCCCAACGATAGTCAACAACAAATGTCATTATCGATTAGTTTGCACAACTCGTCTCAGCCATATTGCAACTACGAGCTAGGTTAAGATCCCTGCTGAACTTCTTAACTAATTTATGAGCTGAGGCAGTCTTACTTTTATTTATGCATTTTATGCATGCATGAATCTTGTTCTTAATTGTAAAAAGAGCAAAAAGTTCATTCTTTGAATTTTGAGAAACTTGTGGATAAAATGTAAGTGTCTCAAAGTGGCTTTTATAAATATCACCATATGTGAATAAAACAACCATTGCTTGTTTTGTATTTTATTTATTGAGCTCTACACTATTTTACCTTTTCGAATGCTTTTCTTTTGTCTGTTCATTGCACACTAAACTCGCTCACAGAAAAGCCTTAATCTCAGTGGGCCTAAACCTCTTGAAATAAATGCAAAACAAATGAAATGCATCACAGGATGACAAATCACCAACTTCACTCTCATGCACAGCTACATCATGACATTCCCAAACCACTGAGAGTGATGTGAGCACAGACTCAATCCCTGGGCTACTGACTATAATGAAATCAGTTCTCCTCAAAACTATATGATGTTACATTAGCCTGAACATCAGCACAAACAAAAGAACAAAATCACCCAGCAGACACAAACACCTAAGGAATATCAAGCCCACGTTGTTGTTGTTGTTTTCAGATTTATTTATATAGGCTAGTACTACTATAGTATTTATTAACATTTTGAGCTTTTATTTTTACATTTTCAGTTTTCATTTGATTTTAAGATTTAATAATTGTGTTTATTTGTATTAAGCGTTTGAATATTTAGCTTTAATTTATTATTTCAGGTTTAATTTGAGCAAGTTTAATACTTTAACTTAAACGTATTTCTGTTTGTTTTTGAATTCAAGTGTTTCATCTAATATTTATACTTGCAGCTTTATTTCACTGAATGATTACCATTGTTAACTGTTTTACAACACAGCAAACACTAAAACAAACATCACTAAACAAATAATGGCTCAAAATGTGCAAGCTAGACTCAAAAGAGTGAAAAAAGTGCAGAAGTTGGAAACATTAATCTGATACTGCCACCACAGTAGAGGAAAATAGTTTGTTTTTATACAATAAGGGACACTCTTAATATAAATATAATATAATGTAAATAGATCACTGGCCGCATAAGACAAATATTTCACAGTCCCAGTGTCTTCAGGTAGTATATGTATCTGAATGAAAAAGATAATTACTGCATGACTGAAAGAAATAAGTGCATTTGAGAATTGAACAGCATCTGAGATGCAATCACTTTGATTCCTGACATATGACTTCCATGGCACTTACTGGTTCTTTTTTTTTTCATAGTGGAAGAGCATCCAACGACACACCAGAGGAACGTTCTGCAGATTTACTGAAAGATCAACTGTGTAACTGAATCTCATAACGGAGTTAAATTCCCCATTATGTACAGCAGATGCACAAACGTACAATCTGTGTTTCATAATGCATCTGTTTGCGCTCCCACTAGAGAGACGTCAACGTGCCTCGTCGACTGACACATTCACTGTCTGGATTCCCACCGACGCTCGTGTACAATCCCGGCACACCAAATTCAGAGAGAAAGCACGATCCCATTAGCATGCAAACAGGGCCGGAAAGCCATCAAAACAGAATACAGCACAATGCAACACGGTTTTTGTGATTTGTGGTGTCAGAACAACAGAAAGCCACAGCAGGCCGAGGCAGAGCTCGGGGAGAAACAGCCAATCCTATTTACTGGAGTTTCAAAGAGAAGGTAATTAACGGAACAACCCAACTGAGTCACTAATTAACTCAGTCCTCCTGATATTCAGCCGCACAGAAGTGCTCTGTACAAACACACAAGCACTGCGAGAGCCGAGGCATTGTAAACAAACAAACAGCATCACGGAAGAAACATCAACAGCCTCTGCGCTGATGCGACTCTCGCCTTCTGCTGAGTCAGAAAGTACTGCGGATCCAGTTGATCCGGTTCTCAAATTGAACTCAAATGATCTGCCGGGAATGGATAACAGCTCAGTGGAGTGGAAAAGTATCCCTGAATAATGACTTCAATTTTGGTTCTTACATAAAACTTCACAATCACATAGGTTTAAAAGTAAAGAAGTGCACTTTAGCATACTTTTAAAATTAGGGATCTAATATACTTAAGTGTGAACTGAATTATGTTTTCAGGCATAATGAATTATGTGTAAAATGGAAATGTATTATAGTTCAAATTTATATTAAATGCAATTAGCTGAAGTTAAGAGTGCTTAAGTGCATCTTAATATGCAATTTCAAAATAACTTCAATTGTCTTTGAATTATGATTAAAGTGTACTGCTGAATATACTGACAAGCATTTATGGTACACTAAAATATACTTTAATGCTATTTCTGTTTCTATTTAACTGTATTTTAAAGTTTTTGATTTTGATGTTGCAATTTAGTTTTCTTTTTAAATATATTCATTTTAAATGTAATATTCAATAAGTAGATGTGCTTCAGTATGTTAGTCAACACAACATCAAAGCACAAGAAAAGATTTTTGAACCAACATTATGTGAAATGCACTTTAAAGTAAAACCTTTAGTTTGACATGATTACAAATTGGCCGTTTTTATGTGCGTGTAAAGAAACAGCCGTGAAAGTAGACTCTCTTTAAAGCTGCAGTCCGTAGTTGTTTCTATTTATCGCCATCTCTGTTCGAAATCTGCAATTGCAGTTATTCGCGGAATTATCAACTTTACGTGGGTTGTGCCTCGGCACGGCACAGCGCGGATGAACACAATGTGTGGATACTGTCATTCAGAATCACAGATTCTACTTTTTGGAAGTATGACCAACATAAGAATTTTCACCGGGAAATGTAATCTGAACAAGTAAGTAACATCCACTTTTGTTCTGAAGGGAAAAAAAGCATTGCAGTAAATCGCACTGATTAAATCTAACGATCGCTTATCATATCACGTCAAACCGTGCAAATTATACTTTGTTCTCAAATTGTTAATGTTAACAACATCAGTATTGTGTGACTACATGTAATGCCCTTCCGATATTATCCTTGTTTTCGCATGGGCACGGATGCAGTCTCTTTTTTTCTGTAGCCAATCCGAAGTCCAAACAAAGTCTTTTGCATTTTACAGGTGAATCTCTAGTTGTCACTGGTGATTGTCGTTTGAACCTTTCTGGATCCGCTATCAAATTGAAAAGTTTAATGTGAGAAAAGGCTATAAATCTCCACCTCCAACATCCTCACACGCAATATAGCCTACTAGCCGAGACTCCTTCTTTATGTGTACAGATGTGACGTAATGACGCAAAGACATGCTCGAATCTCCCGCGGAAATCCACCAGTACCACTGGAATTAAAAACATTATTACAAGCTTACCGTTTTGAATTGAGCTAAGGCAAGCAGATAGTTTTGAACACTGGCTGGTTATGTACTTGCTCAAAAAATTATTGTGGATAATCTTTAACCCAAAAACTGCAGCTTTAAGTACATTTAAGTGGCTTTTATTTAATTAATATTATATTATCTGCAAGTACAGTCTTTAAAAAATAAACTTTTAAGATTTGAAGAACACTACACATGCATATTAAATACAATTAAGTTCACTTCTTTTTTGCAAGGGATTAAATAATAATAATAATAGCCCACTTGAATAATATCAAGTCCCATTATTTTCCTTTGAATATTCCATTTCACAAAGAAGTATGTCACACAATGAGCGTTACTGGTAAATGCGTTATCTGATTTAAACTGTCCTATCAGATTCAAAAATCAGCTCTTACTGGTGTTAGTGCTGGTTGTATTGGTGTTGTCGGCTGTTGCGGCCCGTGTGTTCTGTTGGTCCGATTCTGTTGACACGGTCCTCACAACATCTCTGCTGGTGGTTTTGGACGTGGTGTTAACGTCTGTTCCACACATCAGCTGACTGAGGCTTCCAAATGGATCGGACCTGAAGTCCAAAGTACCTACCGCACTTAGCAGCGCTGAAGACCCAAAATTAGACATCTGAGTGGAGAAAAAAAAACATATCACATGGAAAATCTCCACAAATACACGTTCAGAAATGACTCTTATGTTCACCAAGACAGCATTTGTTTGAACAGAAAATACAGTAAAAATGGTAATACTGACAGTAACTGTAAAATAGTATCTATTTTGAATGTAATGTATTCCTGTGATGCAAAGCTGAATTTTCAGCATCATTACTAAAGTCTTCAGTGTCACATGATCCTTCAGAAATCATTACAATATGCTGATTTTCTGCTCAAGAAAGCAGTTGTGCGGCTGCATATTTTTGTGGAAACCGTGATAATTTTTTTTCAGGATTCTTTGATGAATAGAAAGTTCAAAAGAACAGCATTTTTAAAAAATAGATATCATAAAGGTCTTTACTGTCACTTTTGATCAATTTAATGCGCCCTTGCTGAATAAAAGTATTCATTTATTTTAAGAAAAAAAAATCACACACACACACTTTTGAACAGTATAGTTTGCTTTATTATCTGTATAAAGCATTTGCATATCTGTGAGCCATGAGCAGAACAGACCTGTGAACCATTGTTTCTCTGGAGGAAGATGCAATAAAAACTATCTTTAGAAAACATACTGCATACACACTTCAGGCGAACATTTGTCCATCCCATAACTGAATATTATGGTGTAATGTCATTAATTAATGCCATGGATGTCTAGTTCACGGCATGTCTGCGTAATACAAGTCCATCTGTGCTTTGCATCTGTTGGCCTGGCGGCTAAGCCGGCTAATGCCAAACCATGAAAAGGTGAAATGGTTTTTGGTGCGTGATCAAGACAGCACCTTCATAATCGAAACAAAAAGTGTAAACTGTGTTTCAGTCTCACTTAACGAGCATAACAGACATAAAGCCTGTTCACTCAGAACGAAGGTGACAGCTGTTGTGTTAATACCAAATGACACGGTATATTACTTTCCAACAAACTTCCAGCTGATTTTATTTATATAGCCATGTGCATGCAAACAGTAATGGACTGCACAGAAGCATGGGTAATAGAGCACAACAGTGACGGCCCACTTTTTCAGTGCCCTTGGTTCCTGAATTATTTTCCCATTCATTTTCTCCACGTATTCACTAGAGAGCTCTAATCCTTGGACCAAACCAACCAGCTCTCAGATGAATAGCACAATATATTACTATCAAAAAGTATTCAGTATAACTTTATATACTAATACGCAAAAAAATGTGATACATTTAAAGTTTATTGCAAACAAAACAAGTAGTTTGAGAGTGTATAGAGATTCGAAAATGAACAACTCTTCCCATGAAGCCTTGCAAATGATTCCAAAACAGAGGGTACAATACCAAACCCTTGACATTGATTATAAAATGCATTTAGTTCTGGTCGTCAAATTTGATTGTCTGTTCACAATGTTCTAGAACAGTGGCACTCAAGTTCGGAGGCCAACAGGGCCGCATTTAAACCACATTAAATGCAAAGGGCCACACATTACAATTTGTATTGTAAGACTTTTATTTAGGCCTCCTTACGACAATATTTGTAGTTTTACTTTACAAGTGCAGTTAATTATCTAGCTAAGTCTTACTAGTCCTTTAATTGTTGTCCTATTTAAAATGTCACAGAACATGAAAAAAATGACTATTAAAAGGATTAATAGTTTGTCTTGCTGTATTCTTAATGCAAAAGTTGATGAAAAAATGCCAAAATGCATAAAGAAAAACATTCTTGAGGAAATAAACTTAACAAGAACTGATGAAAAGAAGTGAAAAGTCCTAGTCTTCTTTTTTATGCTCCATTGCACATTGACATTGAGAATTAAAGGGGACATATCATGCTAAATCCATTTTTTTAGCCCTTAAATGCATTTTGTTGTATATTTGGAGTGTTTAGAAGTACAGAAAAGTTTAAATTATTCTCTTCAGGTGCTTTGTTGATATCTTTATATTCTGTTTTGGTCATATTTTTCAACCTGTTCCGATTTTTCTGTTTTTTTTTTTCTGTTTTTTTATTTTATTGTAGAAACACGTAAATATACAAATATATTCAGGAGAACATAAAAGAGGTAAAACAAGACAAATAATACAGAATAATTCCAAATTAAGTGCCATAAAAATAATTTAAAAAACATAAAAAATAAAAAACATTAATTATAATAATAATAATACAAATAAAATAAACAATATATGATATAAAGCTGTTTAATCCTGAATATCAGAGCCATTACAAAATAATTGTTCATATATGTTCAGGAATCTATCACATTTTTTATTGCTAGTTAAATTAAAAGATTTAAGCAGTGAGTCTACTTCAGCCAAAAAAATGTGAGAAAATAGGAAGTGATCTCATAAATTTCTGTTTATGGATGAAAAATTTGCCAAATAAAATTAAAAAATTAAAAATATATTCTTTGGATGTGTGGGAATCAGTATAATAACAAATAATATCTTTCAAATTAAAGGAGTGTGCATGAATGGGGGTTTTATTTAAATGAGAAAATATGCTAGACCAAAATTTCTGAACCAATTTGCAAGAAAAAAATAAGTGTATTAATGTTTCATCTTCGTCACCGCAAAACGAACAGGTACTAGAAATATCAATATATTTGGACACCGTTGCATTAACAGGATATATCTTATGTAATATTTTAAAGTGGACTTATTTGGTCTTGTTAGGAATAAAATATTTATGTGGTAATAACCACGCTTTTCTCCATTCAACATTGCCAATAGAGGCAGCCCAATGGGATCTGCCTCTAGGGCAAATTCGATCTCTTTTTTGAAAAATCTGGCGAATATGTTTATTATTGCATTTCTTATCATAAATGCTAATGCCATCCAATAACAAAGCCGAATCCATCATATTAATTTGGTTGTATAATAAGTGGCTCTTAACCAGTTGCACTAGACCTGTAGGAATAGCTTTAAGCACAGTATTGTATTCTTTAAAAGGAATAGGAAAGTCATGGATAGTCATGAAGCGTTCATAAGACAAAATGTTACCAGAATTGTCAAATAAAGAAATTATATGAATTAGACCTCTATTAAACCAATTAGAAAAAAAGAGAGATTTGTTTCTAACAGTTATATTCATATTATTCCACAAAAGAGTTTTATGTGGGGAGAAATTGTGGATGTAACACAGTTTCCATGCAAGAAGAGCTTGCTGATGAAATTTAGATAGTTTAACCGGGAGTTTATTGTACATATAATTACATTTTAAGATAAACGGTAGGCCTCCAATTTTATTAAAGATGAAATTAGGAATGAAAAACCAAATAGAATTTGAATTTAGTAGACATCTTCTAGTCCACTTGATTTTAAACACATTAATAACGTTGTGAAAATGTAGCACTTCTAGTCCCCCATCACTTCTACAATTGGAAATCACTTCTTTTTTAAGTTTATGAGACCTGTTTTTCCATATAAAATCAATAAAAATTGTATTAACACCTTTAGCAGTGCAGTCATTCACAAATAAAGAAAGTGATGGATACACAAAGCGAGAGAGACCTTCCGCTTTAGACAAGAGAACCCTACCATAGAGAGTTAGGTCTCTTTGTAGCCAAAGATTAAATATATTTTGGGTTTTCTTAATTCGACTAGAAAAATTAAGTTGTTGTCTGTCTACTAGATTTTTTGTTAAGTGAATACCTAAATACTTAATTGTGTCTATAACTGGAATACCCTCAAATGACGTATCATCGCATTTATGCAACGACATTATCTCACATTTCGACATATTTAACTTTAACCCGGAAGCACATGAAAAATTTCTAACTATCTGAATGGCACTGGAGAGTTGGGTTTTATCATGTAAAAAAAGAGTGGTGTCATCAGCCAGCTGCGAGATTTTAATCTCCCTATCAAAAATGGAGATACCTTTCAAGTTCTGATTGTGCATAATACTCAGTGATAATAGCTCAGTAACCAAAATAAATAAAAAGGGGGAAATTGGGCAACCCTGTCTGACACCACGCTTTATAACAAATCTTTGGGAGGTGTTCAGATTAACTATGACTGAACTACTAATTTCTTTATAAAACATTTTAATTACATTAACAAAGGATTCCCCAAAACCAAATAGTTTGAGAGATTGCAGAAGAAATTCATGCTCAATGGTATCAAAGGCCTTATAAAAGTCTAAGAAAAGAATAATGGCTTTAGAGTGTACAAATTCAGAGTAATCCAACAAATCTAAAACAAGTCTTATATTATTGCTGATATGTCTACCTTTGACAAATCCTGACTGTGTCTCCGCAATAATTTGGTCAAGTTTAAATTTCCACCTATTAGCATACACCAGGGCCAATATCTTGTAATCAATAGTTAAGAGTGTTATTGGTCGCCAATTATCAATTAAGAGAGGGTCTTTTTCAGGTTTTGGAATAAGGGAGATTATACCCTGCTTCATTGAAGTAGTCATTTCCTTCTGAGCAATGCATTCTTTATACATGCAAAGTAATGGGGATTTTATTAAGTCCCAGAAATGGATGTAAAATTCAACGGAAAAACCATCAACACCAGGGGATTTCCCTCTCTTCATAGAGAAAAGAGCAGATTTAACTTCCCCAATTGTCAAAGTTGACTCACAAAGATCTTTAAAATCATTATCAATAGTTGGAATATAGTCTTTAATAGTTTCGACAAAAGTCTCACAATTATCTGAATTAAATTCGGAAGTATAAAGTTTGTCATAAAAGTTTGTGATAAACTTAAAAATTAAGTTTGGATCAGTGCACCTGACGCCATTAATATTTAGAGCTGTTAATGAATTTATCCTGCAATTCCTCTTCTCTAATGCAAAAAAGTAACTGGAGTTAGTCTCTCCTTCTTCTAACCATTTGGCTTTTGACCTAATAAAGATTCCTCTAGCTAAATCCAAATAAGCTTGATTGATTTGTAAATTTAAATCTCTTAAAATTAACTCTTCCTCCTGAGTTAATGTTTTTTGCAATAAAGTGTTTATTTTATTTAGGAGTTCAAATATTTTTTTCTTTTTAGAGGATTTTAGCTCTTTACTTCTTCTGATGGCAATCTGCCTAGCTCTATATGTAAAAAATTCCCATTTTGTTTTATAACCGTCACTGGAATTTTCAGAGAATATACCAGAAAACAAGTTCTTAATGCTATCATTAAAGGCTGTATCCTTAAGGGGAGAATTATTAAATTTCCAATAACCGCGCAAACTTGAATTTTTTCCAGTGTTACTACACAATTTTAGACTTATTAGCTTTTGGTCTGAGAGGGGAGCAAAAGAATGAGATAGATCTTTTACAAATTGAAGAGCTGATGAAGAGATCAGGAAGAGGTCGATTCTCGATTGGGAAGACTTATTTCTATTTGACCAAGTAAATTCCTGCAAATCAGGGTGAAAGAAACGCCATGTATCTGTAAGAGAAAATTTCGAGCATAATGATAAAATGTTAATATTTAACTGCTGGCTATCGTTATTTCTGGGAGGAAGTCGGTCCAAGGAGTCATCCACACATTCATTTAAATCCCCGCCTAAAATCACAAAAGAGTCTGGGTACTTGATAATTACTTCATTCAATTCTGAGGTTATCTGAGAGAAGAGAAACGTACTCGGTTACTAACGTAACCTCGGTTCTCTCTAGAGAGGGAACGAGTACTGCGTAATAGCTTACGCTAGGGGAAAACCTCTTTTCCACGAGATATTGAAGCCAAAAATTATCCTTAATTTTGTATTAATGTAAAACGCTTTGCAGCAGCAAGCAGACACAGGCGAGACAGCTCGCGCGCCTATTGGCTGCTCTTGCGGCAAATGCAGCAGCCTATCGAGAGAGACTCTGCGTGACGTAATGACCAATGGGGGCAACTCGCGCCCATATCGTCACGTCCCGCCAGAAAGGGCGTGGTCTCACTCTATAAATATGCTCGTTAGGCTGGTACAAGCTGGTTTTCATCGCCGAAGCGAACCAGAGCGTATTCCAAGCACGGCAAGATACGCAGTACTCGTTCCCTCTCTAGAGAGAACCGAGGTTACGTTAGTAACCGAGTACGTTCTCTTACGAGAGTATCTCTCGTACTGCGTAATAGCTTACGCTAGGGGAACACAATGCAACACGCCGTGCGTACAGGGATCCAACACCAAAGTCCCAGGGGCCGAAGCCCAGGGCTCATATAGTGCATAATCACCATAAACTCACATAGAGTGGAGGATGAGAGGCTGGAAGCGTCATTCCTTATAAAATAGCACCCAGCGGGGCTATCATATGACAATAAAACGCGCAGCCAGGGTGAAAGCTTTCAGCCTGATCTGGGTGGCCATACGTGTGTCAACACTCATGGGGCTGCAGTAAACTCAGCATCTGGGCCGCACAGCGGGGCAGATAGCACTGAATTTTAGACCGCCAAAAGCTTAGCTTGTAAGGCGGGTACCTCCAGGTTATAGTATTTTATAAATGTAGACGGCGAGGCCCAGCCCGCGGCCGTACAGATATCTTGCAGGGAAACCCCGCTAGACCATGCCCACGAAGAGGCCACGCCTCTCGTGGAGTGCGCTCTGACACCCAAGGGGCACTGCAGGCCCTTTGCAGTGTAAGCGAGCGCAATGGCATCCACTATCCATCTGGATAGGCTCTGTTTTGAGGCGGCAAGTCCCTTGGAGCGCCCGCCAAACAAAACGAAAAGCTGCTCAGTCTGTCTGAAAACAGACGAGCGCGACACATAAGCTCTTAATGCCCTGACGGGGCAAAGGAGACTCGCGTCCTCCTCCTCATTGAGAACCGGTAGGGCGGACAGGGAAATTACCTGGGCCCTAAACGGTGTATTGAAGGATTTCGGCACATACCCGTGCTTACGTTTGAGAATGACCTTCGAGTCATTAGGCCCAAACTCCATACATGACGCGCTTACTGAATGCGCCTGCAAGTCCCCTATGCGCTTCACTGAAGCGAGAGCCATGAGAAACACTGTTTTGAACGACAGGTGTTTCATGTCCACCAGCTGGATTGGCTCGAACGGGGCGCCTTTCATGG